TAGAGATCTTCCGCGCGACAGGCTTGATTTCCCAGAACTCCTAAAGCTCGCGATAAAGGCAGAGGCAGATGATTACAAGGACTTGGTGTGGAGAGGGATGAGGAGRCGTGACTTCTCTCTCTACAAGGAGTATGCCACTGATAGATGYCMTAATTTCAAGGATTATCCCTGGTCGGAGAAGAATGAGGCCGTGGCTGAGGAAGTGAAGGAGATACGGGACATGGTGAAGGGATTAACGAGACAGGTTACAGAGATTGTGACCGCCACAGGGGCCACGGCCTACCGGGACAAACCTGGAGGGCCCTATTCACTTCGCTGGGACCGTAGGAATAACGATCCATGGAGGAGTGTCGAGGATAGAAATCCTCGGACGCTAATTGATTATCGTACGAGGGGGAGAGAGAGAGGCGATGAATTATGGCAATGTAGGGACGATGAGATAGACCGAGACCGCAGAGATCGCGAGCTGTTTGTGCGAGCAAGGAGGCTAGATGATTACCCCCGAAGCCCTCGCTATGAGGCCGATCGGGGTAGAGGCGACTCCCGCGGCCGATGGGAGAGGGACGGCAGATACGAGAGATCGAACCGGGATGGATATAGGGATGACAGATACGAGAGGTCGGGTCGAGATGGCTACAGAGGGAGTAGATATGAGAGAGGAGATCACGACTGGGAACGACAAGATGAGACACGCGGACGGTTTGAGCGCGGGGGAGATGCGAGAGAGCAGCGCGACGAGACGCGAGGATGGTACAACCGAGGGGACCGACGCGATGAGTCACGAGGACGCTATGACTCAGGGGACTGCCGGAATGACTCGCGAGGGCAGTATGAGCGAGGAGGGACTGGAGGAGACCGGCGCAACGATTCGCGCAGTCGGAATGAGAGAGGGGGATATGGTGTCTCATCAGAACCATATCCAAAGTCGCCTGACCCCAACGCGGCCAGGAATTCGATCTCTAGAGGCGCAGACGACAGGGCGTCTACTCCCGAAACTCATGCGTCTACTGTAGAGGAGAAGATCATATCAAGAGGGATTGCCCGGACCTCAAACGGACAATAGATGAGGGGCTTGTCGTGCTTTACGACCGCAAGTACGTCAAATGGGCAGATGATCTGGGAGATGTATCAATGTTTCGTTCGATGAAGGAGAACGTCGAAGCAAGGAGAATAAAGACGAGTAAAGGAATRGAGCCGGTCAGGAGCCAGAGCATCAAGGTAATCTTTGAGGGGGATATCGCGACCACACCCATAAGGGTGGCAGCCACCAAGTCAGCAAGAGGGTCTACATCGAAGAAGACTGACACGGATTATGTGATGACGGAGAAGGACGGGCAGCGGATCGATGGAGAGGAGGTTATCCTTTCGCCACGAAAGAGGGGAGTGAAGAAGTTMTTAATGAAGAGTTCGTTGGACGAGATTGACACGGTTGAGCCACTGAGGCGGGCTCTTCGGCAACCAATTCAGTGCTCTATTCTGGAATACCTGGCGGCATCGAAGCCGGCCCGTGATAAATTACAGATGATCACGCGGAAGACTCGCATACCTCTATCAGAGGAGGGTCAGGGAGTCCCTAAAGCGGAGACTTCTACAGTAGCAGTAACAGGGGTAACAGCCAGAGCGGATCGCATGGCGACAGCCCTTCTCGATGGGATGGAAGGCATGCYTCCAGACAAGTTTTATATACTTGGTAGCGGGGCTGTAGAGACGATTATAAACGATGGAGCGGTACTTGATGCTGTGATTGATAACGATAGTGAGGCTGTCATCATAGACGAGGACCAAGTTGGACTGGGCCTCGATAGGTCATACATATTCGAGATAGAGACGGCTGATGGGAGAAAGCAACAGATCATTGGGGTTTGTCACAAGGCAGCCATAGAGGTCCAAGGGGTACGTGTGACCCTGCCTGTCTTTGCAGTCAAGAACTACAGCTCCGACCTGCTCTTAGGTCGAACGTGGTTGAGCCACGTGCATGCGGTGATGATAGAGCGACCTGATGGGAGTCAAACATTGTCCATTAAGAAGCCAGACGGGACGCGGGTAATGATTGAGACAGTGGAGCCTCGGGACCCGAGGAACAGAGCAGCTCTCGCTGTGGGTGCAAGACCCAGTGATCAGATTAA